AAATCTTACCGGGTTTCATATTTTTTTGAAGATTCAAGAGCACTTGAATGAGCAAAGCTATCTAATCTCTTCTCATACAACTCACATTTATTCCAAAATTTTGTTTTTTGAGAAGGAATTTTTGCACCCACAACATCTATAAACCCTTTCATCACTTCTTGCTTGGTACAAAAATGATCTTTATTATAAAAAAAAAAGAAGGATTCAAGTAATAAGCAGCCGCATGAATACTTTGACAAAGTTGCCTATCCCATCTTTCCTTGATAATTCTTATATAAGACTTATATAAAAACTTCCTATTCATCAACATAGTCTTAATTGCCTTTCTAACCCTATAAATGCTATCATAGACATAACCAAGATAAGACCTTTCATCACCATCAACAATTCTAAGCAAGCATATAAGTGGCGCTATAACTTTCACAACAAGTTGAAAATTACTCCGAAATTTGTTATCTAAAACAACAACAACAACATCTTTTGCATTCCAATCTTTGTAGTATCTAGACTTTAAATTCCAAACTAGTAACCAATGCTTGCCAATCATGCTTGTGGTCAAGAACTCTCTTCAATGCAATGAATGTAGTGGCAAAACGTGTTGGCCCTTGACGTATAATTTAAGTCCAGCCTTATCTTTTTGTTAGCCAAGCTAAGATAAAAGTATGATTATATATAAATTTAGTCACCAATGATGCATTAGTTGCCAATTTACTCACAACATCCAACTTGCCAATATCGCTTAATATCAAATTCAAGCAATGCACAGCATAAGGAAACCAAAAGCTAGTTGGATACATGTCATTTAACATTTTTTCAACTTTCTTATAAGTAGCTGCATTATTAGTGACCAAATGGACAACATTACTAGCACCAACATAATCAACCAATTCTTTAGACAAATTGCACAGCATGTTAACATCTTTGACCACATCAGAAGTTCAATAGATGTCACAAAGGTTATCCCTCTAGGACAATAAACAAGAAAATTAATCAATTATCTATTTTTTTTATCCTGCCAACCATCACTGATAGTTGTACAATCAGTTTTTGCCAAACTTTTCTATAAGAATCAACCAACAATTGAACCTCCTTTTTTAAATATTTCAAAAGACTAGTTCTTACAATATAATAAGTTGGTCCTTTATAACCAATACCAATTGCAGTAATAGCATCAATCATAGGCTAAAAATAGGGGGAATTAATGGCATTTATAGAAATGCAACTATCAAAGAAGAATCCAGCAATAGCTAAATCAACTTGATGGATATCTCTTATACCTGCCATTGCATTCCTAATTGATGGTTGGGATCTAGGAGTTGTCCTCGGAGCTAAATAATTATGCAACCCACTTGCCTTTCTTTTATTGCTATTTTCCATGGTACTTGCTATTCCTTTTCCTTTAGCTTGAAAAGGGAGCACAAATTTCTTACAAGTCAGCATCACCAAATGGGTTATCTTGCCATTGAGTTTTAGCTTGCTTCTTGATTTCTTCAAATTCCTTCAAACTTTCTTGCATTCGGAAATGAACATCATGAGGCACCTTGTCACATTTTTTTACTTTTCCACCTTTTCCAGCAAGGTGATGTTTCATTCTATTTATTCCTTCTCCTCTAATAAGTGTTTGGCAATACAAGCATTGTAATTTTTTTTCTTTGTGCCTTCAACTTCAATACAATGCTCCCATGCAATATTAGCTTTTCCTCTACATGATTGCTATAATTGTGTGGATACAGCAGTTGAATTTTGTTCAGAAGATAACATTTTCCTATAATTTACACAAATATAAAAAAATATTAAGAAAACCTCTAAGAGTCCTAGTATGATAAATAAAAATTTATTTGAATTAAAATGCTACATTAAAATTTAAAATCAAGGCATAATAGATTAGGCACAACAGAGTAGGAAAAAAAATAAAATCAAGCATGAAAAATTGATATTCATACATAATTTTTCTAACTCTTACACCAATACCAATTAGTAAAGAATTAAGTTCTATCAACAATTAACAAGCTTATAGAACATGCAAATTTGAGAAAATGTTCAAGGTAAAGCTAAAAATCTTATTCAAATTGAATGTCCAAGAGGAGAGAAGGAGTCACGGACTGCTTCTGTTAAGTAATGAAGGGGGTGATCTATTTGCTTTGCTGCTTCTATTTGGTCCGGTGAAGGAAAGGAAGATGAGTGGCAGAGGTGTGAGCAAAATCAAGGGACAATCTTTTATGCTTTGCTGCTTTTGTTTGGTTTGGTGAAGGAGAGGAAGATGAGCAAAATTAGGATGTTGACAATGGAGGAGAGGTGGTGAGCTACCAACAAAGGTGCACGGAGATTGAGTTGCTTTGTTGCTTTTGTTTAGCGAAGGAGATGAGGTAGTGACTAGTGAGATGCCAACGGAAATGGAGTAGGCAAATCAAGCTACTTTGCCAAGGGTGATGGGGCGGGGACTGGTGTGGTGAGATGCTAATGGAGTCAAGGAGATGGAGCATAGATAAGGGAGAGGGATGGCCGATGCAATGATGTCTTTCTCCTTTCTAGTTTCTACTTTCTAATTTTGTTTTTCCCAAGTGTTTTTACATAATAGTACTTTTGATTAGGGTTTTTAGATTTAATTTTAGTTTAAATTTAAGGTTTTTAATGTGATATCATTAAAAGATGGGATAAAATAGGTAAATTACATTAAAAAAAAAGGAAAAAGACAAAAAGTTAATAAAAGGGATGGCAGCTTCTGCTTGGCGGATGGAACAGGCTAGGTGTTTGAAGTGGGTCTGGCGGGCTTAGACAAGCCAACTTGTAAAACAGGCCAATGAATGAAGCTGACCCGTTTTTAAGCTTGGTTTTGGTTGAATTGGTTCAATCGATCGGGTCGGGCTGGCTCTTAAAACCATGCTTTGCTATGATATTTGAATGTCTAAAAATCCAAAGTAAGTTAAGCCCGTAACTCGGTAAACCGCGTAACTTTTAGACTTTCTAATCTGCGCATTGAAGTCCCTCTACTTTTTTTGGAAGGATAATTATTTGGGCAGAAAGGAAGGGATAGTAAGGTTTTGGGCCTTGTGGTGATTTTAAATGACTAAATTAAAGTGTATGGTGATGTTGGTAGGCATATGAGTTAGGGCTTTAGAGGAGACCATGTTCGAAGAAGCTATTTTTAGGAAACTTCTCGCAGTGATAACTTTTTGATCATCTATCGACATTTTCTAATTATCAAAAGATAAAATTCAATTGATCTTTCTTTTTGATTGATTTTTTTTTCTAAAAAAATGAAATTGTATATCAAAAGATAACTCTTATGTATTTTTTCACTCACTTCATTACATGCTTATTTATATTTGAATTTGAACTTTGTGGGATAGTAGTTGGAACCGGGTGGTAGCGGTGGGCATCAATATAATATCAAACCATACCATACCAGTTTTGTATTGTACTAATTATATTTGGTTCTTTAGTCCTATATTGAGTACTGACCTAAATATGCTTACCTAGTACACTATTTAGGAATCAATACTTAGTATTTTTAAAGCAAAAATCGAGTATTGACCCAATGTGTACCAATTACAACCGGGAATTGCCTCACCTCCCATTTTCCTTGTACTCTCTCTGTTGCTTTGTTATTTCAAGTTTTGTGAGGATAAAGCTTCCTACCTTTTGAAATTTTGATTGGATTCAAAGTAGGAACTAAGTTGGTTCTTAAAGTAAACACTTGAAAGGGGAATTGTTTAATTCATCAAAATTGTTTAAGAATTTGCACATCTCACCCATCTTTTGAAGAAAGATCAAGCAAAGTATGTACTATTCTAAACTTACTAGCGGTTCTTGTCTTCCCCTAACTATTCCTCTTTCTATTCGTGGTTTGTTGGTTGTGCGGTTGCACTAATAGTGGTCAGTATGTATTTGACTATAGGTTGCGATGCTAGTTGTCATTACTACCTGCTTGCAATTGTGGAGTCGTCATTGGGGGAGAGAAAAGTAGATTGTAGATGAACGTAGAAGGCAGAAGGTAGAGCAACAGATTAAAAGGATTAAGGGTTTTAAGTCTTTTGACTGTTTTGTAACTTCTGTTTACCATTGAAGTAGAAATATAAGGTTTAGTTATTTTAATTATTTTAATTGATTAATTTATAAATATATTTAATATATCTAATTATAATATACGGTGCTTGTTATGGTATTTAGTATTTGATACTTTTGAGTTAAATAGCGAATACTATCCCAAAATACTAACCGGTATCACTCTTGTATAGGACTTTTGTTCCTATCAATAAAAGTCTTGGTACCGATTTCAAAAAATTCAATACTTACTGACGATTGCAGTATGGTATTCCCAAAATTTGCCCACCCCGCCAGTGGTATGGAAGACTTGCATAGATACAATAAAAAAAAAAAAGGCTAGTTAGGACGAGCGCTTATAGGTTTTTTACACGTACATCCTCTAATGATTAAGTTACTTGAGATTTCAATCAGGTGAAAGTCAAGAAAGGACAGAAAGAGAGTTTGAATTTCATTTAGTGTGCAAGAGTCCCCTTACCCTTAGAAGTATGCAAGAGTTCCCCCTTTCATAGTGTGGTACATTTGTGGGTTAAAGCCAACAATAGTCCCTCTACTTTCAATTTTCATTCATTGTCCTCCTTGTACTTACAAATTGTTCAAAATCCTCCCTCTACCCTTTCTAGCCACACTATAGTCCTCCCTCTACTTTAACCTTTTATTACATTTACCTCCATTTCCTAACACCACACTAACACCGTTTGTAACTTCGTCTCATGGAGACATCTTAGACCGTTAAATTTGTTAGTTTATTATTTTCCTTGAATTGTGTTTTCGGGCACAAAAATCCTACATGACTTATGTACTTGCCTAATTAAAAATAAGCAACCTATCATGTACCCTCCAATGATCAACCAATTAAAGTTAAGGGCAAATAATCTTATTCTTTTATGCAATAAAAAAGTGTTATTTTAATCTCTCTCTTCTTTCCCCTTTTCTCTCCCTTCTTTCTTGCTTCTACCTCCCTTCTTCAGCGCTGCGTTTGTTTTGATCGAAAGCCTTTGAGCTTCTAAGGTTTTGCTGCTTGAGCCGTTGGGCTCCCCGGCCGCTCAAGCATGTTGGAGTTGGCCTGTGCTCCCTCCTTCGATGAGCCTTCGAGGTCTGTTGGTTTCTGGGTCCTTCTCCGGTGACCCCTTTTGGTTTTTCTGTTTTCTGGTTGTTTTGTTTTGTTTTGTGTTCTTGTATAGTTTGTTTTTTTCAGTTCCGGCAACCCTCGGCTCTTTCCTGTTGATCTTGGTAGGGGCTCGTTGGTTTTTTCTGTTTCTTGTTCTGTTCGGTGCAGATCCGGCAGCCTTCTTTCTCCTCCGACAGATCAGTGGCAGCGCACGCAAGGGCTGCCAGATCTGACGCCCATCGCGGATCTCCTGTTGATTCTAAGGGACTACTGCTGCCTAATCAGGTTACCGCCTCGGCATCCTACAGCCTGGTGCAATTTCTTCAAAGCTAGATAGAAGGGTGTCCCATATGGATTGGTCGATCGAAGGCCGTGGTATATCCTGGGTCGTTCGTGTGCTGAGTGCACCTCCCTTCAGCCTCTGGATATGGGTCTACTCTGATCTTTTGTTCCAGTTGTATTTTACTATTTGTTATCTTTGTAGATGCTGTATGGCGGTATTTGTAATGAAACCATTCCGTTATGCTCAAAAAAAAAAAAAAAGTTAAGGGCAAATAGATTATTATTACATCATGAAGTGTTTTTCTTTTTTATTTTTGGCCATTTTATATTAAAGTGTTAGGTATTATTTATTAGTAATTTGTTATATTGTATTGTAGTTATAAGTTTTATCTTTTATTATTCTAAAAATATATTAAATATTAATTAAAATTAATTAAGGAATGTTATAGTTATAATGTCATATAAAATTATACGTTTATAATTATTATGTGACATTAAATGAGTATGACATGTTATTAAATAAATGTATATATATAATACCATTGGTGGATCTTAAATAAAAAAAGTCAATCATATAATGATATATAATGATATATCATATTGTTACAATGCCATGTGACATTATAACTATATTATTTTTTAAAATTAATAAAAGTATATAAAAATTAAATTTGATTAATAATAATCAAATTGCATTTGAGATAAGGTGCTATATAAAAAAGATCTGTAAAAAGTATGTGCAAACAAAACCTTAAAATTATACAAAATTATCACATTTTTAACCATATTTGAGCTTGGTTTGCTAGTGTTGCACATCCTAAAAATATTTGAAATATTAATTAAAATTAGTAAAAGAGTTTTTTTTTAACCTATGCCCTCCTATGTTTTCAAGGCACATGATAAGAGTCTTGAAAGAATAAATATTGATATTTAATTTATCAATTAGCTAATTAAATTTATTCGTGTGGCGATGAGTCTAAAATTAATGTTAGTTTTTACATTTCTCTATACAAATTTATGGGGAAAAAATTGCCCATAACCTCTGCTCATATGCCACAGGTTAGAGAAGCCTCTAGTAAAAATGTAAAAAAAATTAATTAAAATTAATAAATTTTAATTTTAGATGAAGTTCTCTATGAAAAAAATATTTAAGAAGTATGGTCAAATAAAACCTTAATTTAGATGTTAATAATAACTAATAGATAATATTTTAATGATTAACAATTGTTATTATTATTTATAATTTAAATGTCCTTAGTCATCTAATTAAAAAAAAGGAAGTAATAATTATTTCTTAATAACCATCCATCAACAAAAATATTTCTTAATAAATCAATCAAATATGGCCTAAATTTTTGAAAATGTCATTCATATTAATTTTTAGTTATATTAATAGACTAAAAAAAGTAAAAAAGAAGTCAAAAAAAAAAAAAACCAACAATGCAAATAGTTTAGTAGTAATTTTCTTTTAACGTAATTAAGAGATTTTGAATTCAAGTTTTATAATGTGTGAGTGGGGTGAGTTGAGAGATGAAAGAAACTTAATTCTTAGTATATAATTCAAGATAAAAAAAAAATTGAAAGAATAATTTAATGTAAAATCAATACTAATAAAAATGTGACAATAAGATTACCCTAATGGTAATTAAGAAAAGAGACAAATAAAAATAGAAAAACTGTGACTTACTTTGTTTAAATGAATGTGTGAATTGAAATCCAAAGAATAATGAAATGAATTACTAGTTAATATACGCATGTTAAATTGATAAATTTTGAGTTTTTTTCCCTTGATTTGTGAGACCCACAAACACAATTCACTAAAAAGAAAACAAATTATTGCACTTAACGGTCAAAGATACCTCTGTTAAATGAGAGTTATAAACGGTGTTAGGGTGGGGTTAGGGGAGGGAGGTCAGTGTAATGGAAAGTTAGAGAGAGCAAATAGTATGTTTTGGAAAAGTAGAGGGAGGACTTTGAATGAAAGTTGAAAGTACAGGGATTATAGTTGGCTTTAACCTACATTTGATGAAGGCAAACATCTGCTTGGTTCGTACAATTATTGGAGTCTGATCTGCGAAATAGTAAAGGGCATGTATAACAACCAATGAAAAGGTGCCATGGGGTGGAGGACAAATGAGGTCTAGCTAAAAAAGGGGTAACGACCATCTCAGGGGTTGACACCAATGCGGGCATCGTTTGGGCATGAATTAATACTAACCCTGTGTGGGCCTTGCTTGTCCTTTACTCACCTGATCTTGATCAGTTAAGTCTCAATCATAGGTGTATTCTGGAAGCTTGGTTAACACCATCTAGGTCATTCCAGTAAAGCTAAGCTAGTCTTATCCTAGGTGCACTTAGCAAAAGTCCCAACAGCTAGGGTCGGGTTTAGCTGGATTAGGTTTCATAAAGAAGCTCTCCTTTTCATAATTGAGGGGTCCTTAAACTTACCTAAATTATAACTTAAATTTACATGAATTATTCAAATTACGTCATTACATTTTTGATGATATCACCTACAATCCAAATTTAAAATCTTTTGGGCCACTTAAAACCACTTGACAGCTGAAGTAATTGGCTTTGTGCGTGATATTTAGTTCAAGCATATATTGGATTCAAATCCGTTGCATCGTGGCGATTCAAGTTCTAACGCGTAAAGATATCAGAATAAAGTATCAGTAGATTGACTGACAGACTTGATCTCCACCATTTCATCCGTATATATCTCAAAACTTTACTCCTAATTCAATACTTTTAAATTGTAAAGATCAGCTCAGAGATGACCTGTTTTTCTTCTGGGTGGAATGAAGCTTCCTTTCCTTTGTTAAGAAATCGACTTCACCGGTGGGTATATGTAGGGGTAGGCATTTTTCAATACGGGTTGGACATGAGATATATTTGATATTTAATTTAAAAAATTTTAAGTGTAGTCTTTTAGGTTTAATATCGACCTACATACTTGAAGATATATATTTGATATTTAACCTAATATATAATAAGTAACTTATAAGCATGTACTTATGTATTTAATTTAAAAAAACATATCTAATACGAAATACTATTATTACGTGTTATATATTTAGTTTAGAATTTATTATTTAAATTAAATGTTATTGTGATGTACATGATGTATGGAATTGTTTGACTTTTAAATTTTACTTAACTTTTTTTTATTATTTTATTTTTAAAAATTATTATTTTTATATAAATATTAAATATAATGAGTACATATAAAATTTTAATTTTAAAAATATAAGTAATAGATAAATTAAACTAATCAATTAGATAATGATGACAGTGGTAATAGATAAAATTTCAATTTTAAAAATATAGTGTTATATTGGTTAACAATCTAAATAATTTAGTAGTTATTTCTTTTTGTTAAAAATAAGAGATTTTAAATTTGAATCGTATAATATACGAATAGAGTATGATAAAAAATAAAAAAATAATTATTTTATATTGCGTAATCAAAATAAAAAAAATATAATGTTATATCTAAATAAATAAAATATTTATAAATAATAAGTATATTCGTACCCAATACTGACTCTTAAGTATATGTAAGGAAAAATCCTGCAACCAGTTGTTAACTGAATTTCCCTGAACCTTGGACCCTGTTTGGTTTAGGCCTTTAGGGGAAATTTCCTGCTTCCTTTCTCTAGAAATTGAAGAGCAATTCAACACCTACATGCTGCCGTAGTATTACAAATACTGTTTTTTGATGAATCAAAACAACTCTTACCACTTACTACTTGAACCTGACCCATAAAGTCAAGTGACCTCCATCACTTTAAAAGTTCATCTTCCTTTCTCAAGTAATGGTTGAATCCGATCTTATGATAATTATTTTTTTTTTAAAAAAAACAACTCTTACCACTTAACTAACACAGAATCTATATAACAATTCTTACCCACCTTACCCCTCAAACAATTCCCAATACCAATAAGTAACTTTTCTTCACACTTTTGACCTGGAAAAAAGTTTCCCGACCATCCTCTCGTTGTAGTCCCCTTCATTTAAAAAAAAAAAAAAAAAAGCTGTAATATTTTTAAGGTAAAAAAAAAAAAGATTCAAACCCAGCTTATGGGGCTAAAAGGCATACCTCTTACCAAACAGTTAGGTGCTCACATTGTGGTCACTTTGATAACTTTCACTCAACATTTTTAATGTTAATTTTCAACCAAACATGAGAAAGTCAGCAATTATAACAAATTCTTTTTAAAAAAGTCACCAACTTTCCATTGTTATTTCTTTAACTTTTCATATATACTTTTTGAACTACTTTCTTGATTAAAAGTTTTGAAAAAAGGGACTTCTAAACCAAACAAACTCTAGAAGGCAAAGTTTGAGGTAGAAAAGGAATTGCCTATACTTGTAACTAGAGGTAAACACTTTTAGATATAAGTCGGATATGAGATATATTTGGTATTTGATTTAAAAATTTTTAAATTGAATCTTTTAAACTTGGTATTTACCCAAATGCTCAAAGAACTATACTTGATACTTAACCTAACATGTATTAGGTAACTTGTAAATATATACTTATATACTTGATCAAGGAAAAAAATAAACTTTGTATTAGTTATTATTATGTGTATTATGTGTTTGATTTAAGGTTTGTTATTTATCTAAATTATTATTGTTGCATATGTGATATCTTTGACTTAAGGTTTATTTTTTGTATTGTATTATTCTTATTTTTAAAAATTATTATTATTATATAAATATAAAATATAATAAGTATAAGTATAAAAAAACGATAATTGACAAATCAATTAGATAAGTTAATTAAATAAATCAGATAAATAACTCTAAATTTTTATATTTATTATTTAATTTGATACTTAGGAGTATTTTATTTTTATATCCATTTTTTATTTAATTTTTTTACCGTTTAGATCTGATAATTACCAAAATAAGTAAGATAAATTTATCCGTACCTAATTCTTACCTCTCCTTGTAACTTGGTTCTGGATGTCGGACAAGTGACAATCATTGAATGTCATCTGGGCTCAGCCCTTTAGTAATTCTGGGCCCAATACTTGAAACAGCTTCCCGAACAGAGTAATGACTTTAGACTCAAAAGATGGTCAGGTGCCTGGAATTTAGTTGGTACCAAGTATACATGTCACCCAGTGGAGAATAATTTTAGTGGACTAATTGGGGTGCATCAGTGTAATATTTACAACACAAAAATGTGTATCAACCTATAGAAAAAATTAAACAAAAAAATTAAAATTATAATGTTTTAATAAAATTGTATTAAAAAATATTAAAATATCATAAATTTTTAAGCAAGAATGAGGCTATTTTAGGTTTTTTTTTTTATAATACTTTATTAAAATAACATAATTTTGAGTATTTTTTTACTTAATTTTTTTTTACAAATTTGGCTGATAAATACTTATCTCTATTCCTAATTTATTAATTTTAATTTCTTGTGTATAATTTAAAAAGACTTCAGTTATCCTTTTGGTAAATAAAAAAAATTCAATTGTTGTTCATATAAGTTGTTAAATTATCATCTAAAATTTATTAAATAAATCTACTAAAAATGAATAGAAGGAGTACTAGATAGATAACAATTAAAAATTATTTTTATTTCTATATGTAGTTTTTATTTTGATACATTAAATAATAAATTATACAATAAAAAATAATATTCCCTTTCCTAAATCTCTCTCCATGTGTTTTAAAATTCAAATTTAAGATCTCTATTATAAAAATTCAAAGTTCCTAATCACTAAAACATCGACTTTTTCTATATATATAGATAATAAAAAAATTAATTGTTATTTATTTATTATAAAATATTAAATTATTTTATATAAAGTTGAAGGAATAGAATAACTAAAAATAGACTAAAAGGAGTATATAAAGATTAACAGAGGCCACGCCACTACCAAGAGCTTACACGGACAGGATCAATGGATAATTGAAAGAAAATAAAAATGACTAAATTCTGTTGCTCTGTTAATCAATAGAAGGTTCCAAAATATAGAAGGCAAAATCCATAAAACCCCACTGTGACAAATATGAATAACAGAAGAAAGCAGAAATATGGTATATTCTGACCTTAAAAATCCTAACCATATTGTTACTGTATGAACCTATTAATGTAGAAAGTAAATAAGAATAGGAAAATAAAAAATATGTATGTCTTTTTCCTATAAATGATATAATCCAACCAATGCTTCAACCTCTATGATACTCGACGAAAGCCTGCTATGTACAGTGTAATCTGGTTGCTCTTCACTATAATTTATCGGCAATTCTTCCCAGAGCATCTGCCAGCTTGTTGAGAACGTCAACTAAGCTATCAGTGTGGCTTTTCCGCTGCTCCCTGTCTAATTGGAAGTTGGTGTTTTGAGATTCAAGTTGGGCAGTCAGCGTTTTCCCGTTCCTTTCCAAGACATTGATCAACTGATGCCGCAGATTGCTCATTTCCTCATCTGCGTCCGTGGAAAACCGTTTCCTCTTCCTTCCGTCTTGAGAAGTAGAACCTATCTCAGGATTTAAGGTCGCATTTTTCTCTTTTGGTGCACCTGCATGTAAAATGAGTAATCTTAACAGGATAAATTCAAGATCAAAGAGCAAAGTTCCACTTTTGTAGCAATCCAGAGCCCCTTGTAGGTTTAGGGTAATAAACGCAGATCAGATGATTAACAACAAATGACACATATCAGATGATTGACTTGAAGCATCTAATTCACAGTACAAGATGTAATATAAATGTTAAAATGCAAACATCAAGTGATTTCAATATTCTTAGCTGAAATCAAACTTCTAAACCTTATCATATTAACCAATTACTTAAGCAATTCAATGGTAATTTCCTTTCCGTAGAAGTAAGAGATTGAGTTCGACTCACATAACATGCAGGGAGGGTGGATTAAGGACTCACATAACATGCAGGTAGGGTGGGTTAAGGAATAAGAGATAGTTGCCTCCCATGCTACAATTCAAGAAAAAAAAAAAAAGGAAAAAAACTTATGATGTTGATGCTACCGTGACTGTTTAATTGGAAATTTAATTTCCATTTCATCCGTCAGATCTAGATATGTGAAAAATATCTATGTATTCTTATTCCAAGACATCAGTAAAAATTTGCAGAGATTTCAAAATGAACTTCTAAATCCCCAATCTCTGTACTACAATAGCCAATGACAAGTGAACATTCAGACACTTCTAAAACAAGCTGATTCTGGGAGAACAATAATAAACAGAATTGTGTTTAACTTGGAACATTTTATGATGCAAATGCAGACACTACATAACATTAAGGTAAAACAATCACCATTACCTTGACTCTGACCACCTCCAAAAGCTGGTTGATGCTGCTTCTCAGTGATCATAACAATATAAAAGAAAACATATCACATTAATCCCCAAATCATAACCTTTTTTTCCCCGGTTTTATCGAATCCAATCAAATACACTATTGCAGAATCTAATATAACAATACGGCCATCAACAGCGAACAACTTCAAATGCAGAACCATCCAATCGAAACCAATCATTCAAATCCCAATTGAATTATAGAATAAAACGAATTGAGTGTATTGGACTGTTTTCATATTCATACAGAATCAAAAAAGGTGCAAACTTCAAGCGTTAAATATTGAAAACTCTTATTGGGATTACCTGAAATAGGTATGGGAACAGGTACCGCGCTTCCCGCTGCCTGTTCCACCTTTTCCGGGCTCCCACCATCCTCATCCTTCTCAAAGTTGGAAAACAAACCATCATCCGCCGCGGCGCACCTCCCGCTGTCGAGAATTGTCTCCGTATCCTCCGACGTAGGAGTAGGAGTTAGAGCCAGAGTCAATCCGGGCGCAACGGATGAAGTCGAGACTGTTGGGCCGCCACCGCTGTCCAGGATATCATAAACCTCCTTGTCAAAAAACACAGGCAACTTCCTCTCCTTCCTCAAATCGTTCCGCATCACCCAATAGGATTCCATTTCATCCCTTATGTTACTCTCCCATTCCTTGATTTTCTTAAAATCTCCAGCCAAATTACTCCACCTCTTTCGGCACTGAACCGGGCCCCGGTTCACCCCGTGCCTCTTGCAGTAAGACGAGACCGATGTCCATTTGGGTTCCACAGCGGACCCAAAAGCCAGGCTAGCAGCACGACCCCGCCGGACCCGATTCTCGGCTACCCTTTTTCCCTGGATGAGCACGAGTATCTCCTGTCTTGTCCATCTAGGAAGCCTCGGGGCCTTACCTACGTTCTCCCCACCGTCACCGGAAGGCAGACGGGGTTCCTCGACGGCGGCAGATTCGCCGTTAACGGGATTGAGAGCCGGAATCGATGCTAACTGCTCCAAGGCCATGGTACTGAAATGATGATGACCTTATTAACGAAGTGCACGTGACAGTGAAGTTGAGTTAACGGGGTGGTGCACTGTGGATGTAACTAACGGAGTTTCGAAATGGGGTCCACTACGCTTTTTAAAGTAAAGCCTGATCTCTTATCTTAGAAAAATGACTTAAATTGAGAGGTAAAAGGAGAGATTTTAGGGTTTCTTCCTCCACTTTTCTTCTTTTGTATTTCTAATGCTATGCCTCAATTGACCTTCATCCTTTTTTTTTTTCCTCCACTCCTTAAGGGTAATGTTTTTATTAAGGAATAATTACATGAGGACAGTGCATATTAGTTTCAAATTTTAAAATTTTGAATTTTTAATTTTAATAATGTAATTTTATTTAATTAAAATTTAATTTAAAATTTAAAATTTTACATTATTAAATACTTATATTTTCATTT